TTTTCCCCTTAATTTAACTTGTATTTATGTAAACATTTGTATGAGAAACGTTTCATTTTTTTCAATCTCGTTCTTACTTTATGATGTAATGCGTTGTTGGTTATACTGTAGTTAATATTTACAAGAAGCGGCAATAAACAGAATATATACTGCATAGCAAGAAGCTTCTGTGATAACATTCTCTTGGAACACAATGTAAATAAAACTCGGTGTTTGGTGTTGCTTATTGCAAAATTAGGGCTGTTTGGTACGCTGTATCAAAATGTCTCACTAATTGGATCAACTCGCCACAGTAAAGAAAATACAGAGTAGTAATTGTGGGCACAATCCTAACAAAATTAGATAAGCAGATGATGCAGTGTAGATAGCAACCACAGAAAGAAAACTGCAGGTATTCCTAGGCAAGATAGTCAAGGAAAGAAAGAAGAAAGGCCTAACTATCAATAGTAGGAATACAGAATATATGATCGTTATCAAGAGGAATAGTTCAAGATGATAACTAGGATGTAGAGAAATGAAGCTACCAGTGGAATGAATAAAAAAGAGATAAGAGGAAAAACTATTCTTAGCCGACGCGTTTCGTCTTTGGTGGGACTTTATCAAGGCAAATGTAAGGATTTATTTTGTTGCACGTGTTTATATACAAAAATAGGGATGTCTTTGGTTTATAAAAGCTTTTACATTTGAGAACGTTCATGAATATTTATCAGGTAGCTGAAAGGTCAGTCAAAACATGTGGAGGGTGCAAAGTGTCCTAATTCAAATTCTGGCAAAAAATAAACGGGTAAGATTCAAGATTTGTTTTAAATGAATATTTTTGGGATTATTATGCTATGAGATTGACGTATGTGTTGTACATCTTCAAAAACATGAGGTGATCGATTTACCCGTTTTCTTTTCATTTTTCAACATATTTGTGGTTGTTTGGTTGTGTGTGATGACTTGGGAAAGTAGTACACCCTTGTGTAAATTAACTGAAACAGTATATATATATATTTATATATATACATATATATATATATATATATATATGTGTGTGTGTGTGTGTGTGTATAATTTTTTTCAATGAATATTGTTTAGATTGTGATTAGATTGATAATCAAGCCGTGATAAACCGTGAAAAACGAGAACGATCACTTGCTCTTAAGCAGCAGCAAAAGATGGTAATCGTGCATGATGACACGTTTAAATGTTAAACATGGATCCGACAGCAAGTCAAGAGACGCCTAGCGGTCAGCATTGTAATTAGTGGCTGAGTGTCAGGATGCATTTCCTTTTATTTCCTTCAATGGCAAATCTTTGAGTAGGCTGCGGGTTGTAAAGTCAATATAAATGTTTATTTTTGTTTGATCCTCACGGTCTCCCTGAAACCCATCTATGAACCTCCCCTAGTGGTTCATGGATACCAGGTTAAAAAGACCTGCCATAGACGGAACATGTGAGCAATGAAGAATAATACATATCATCTAACGGTAAAACAAATAAATTAAACTCATCATTTATTGTAAAAACCTAAAAACCTTCAACATTATTACAATGATACACAAAATAATCAAAAACTTCAACAAACCAATGATTTTTATGAATTAGATGTTCCACTTTGTAAATGTTTTTAAACTATTAATAATTCATGCAGCATATACATTGGTTTCACAACCACTATATTATCGCACAGATTAACGTGTCATTTATCAGATAATAGTTCAATTAAATTGCATATCACCAGCAACACACGAGAAATCAGAGAAATCCTTATTGATAACACAAAGATATATTTATCTATAAAACAGATGTCTGTGTGTGTGCGTGTGTGTATGTATGTGCGTATGCTATTTATGCACGTCTACATTTCTCGACCGATTTCGATTAAATTGTACACACATATTGCAAATTTATTAGAATTAGTCAAGACCAACATTTCAATCCCCAGACTCCGAGGTTTTAGCAGAAAAATCGATAAAACTGAAGCTGGGTACGACTTTTTGCAAAAAAACAAGCAAAGTTACACACGGAAATTTTTATTGGATGAGCTGATATTCTTTGCACTTAATGCAAAACATCGCTCATGTTACAGGGTTTATGTAGAGTGCTTGATAGTTTTCTTGTGACATAGGCTTCATACAAAAATTGCAAAAAACTGAAAAAATTGGGTTTTTCGTACTACTTAGAGTAAAAACTCCTGATTTTTATCCGATTTTCCTCAAGCATGTCGCAAAAAAATTGCCATCATGCAAGAAATAAGATTGTGTGGTTTTAGCCCAACTCACACCCAAGCGTATAAGAAACCTCGAAAAACTGTTCAAAAGCCCATTTTTCGGCCATATCTCTCTGGTTTTTATCCAATGTTTTCCAAATTTGTCATATAAATTACATGTGACACAAACTTGTTTTGTGAGAATGTTTGGTTCAGATTATTTTAGTTAAGTGGATGAAATCTGTGACAAAACAGATCCAAAATCGGCTCTTGCAATTTAGCCAATATTTTCTTCCTATGATTCCATCCTACATTGGAATTCGAACAATATTTGATGCAAAGTTTGTTTGAGAAGGATTAGCGAAGTGTTAAAAGGGAAAAATTCACGAAGAACCTCTCATTAACCCCAGCATTACAGTAAACGTGCGAAGAAGGAGAGGGGCGTTCATGTGTTTGCAGTTGAATCAAGCTCTGACACTTCATCCCTGTTTTTGTTTGATTTTTACATTTATGCCATACTATTTGAAAGTTATTACGCTCATAGGAAATTTACTGAATATCTCAAACATTGAAACAATTTAACCTCAAGCAACGATCACGCAAGAAGGTTTTATCGATGGAATTCCTTTATTAAGAACAATCAAACAGTTGTTAAGGACATACTGTAAAAAAGATGAGGGTTGAGTAACTTAGTATACCAACGGATGATGCATATTGTTCTGAATATCCACTTTTAAATTTACATATGCTCTATCTCTGGTATCGAACACTTTAACTCATAAATACAGTATACCTTAAAACTATATTTTTATCATATATATATATATATATATATATATATTGAGGCAAATTTCATTGAATAATTTCAACAAGTTTTGTCAGCGTATTTTCAATAGCATCAATTCATTTTCTCAGATGAACTTTTTGGTGTAGAGATTAGAAGAATAGGGAAAATTACCGTGTTGATACTTATTTTTTTTTATTCCGAGTACTTTCGACATTAACACAATGGCATCCACAGCGTGTCTTTTTAAGGCAAAAATGTAGTGTTAAGTAT